TCGGCATATCTCGACTGAAGACCTTTGAAAATGTCGACGAATAGGGATCCGATGACATCGAGTACTTCGTGGTAGTGATACTCGAAGGCCATCTCGAAGTCGAGGCCAACGAATTCGCAGAGATGTCTGTGAGTGTTAGAGTCCTCAGCCCTGAACACAGCGCCCACTGTATAGACGCGGTTGAAGTCAGCGGCGATTGCCATCTGTTTGTACAGTTGCGGCGATTGAGCCAAATATGCCTTTCCCTTGAAATACGTCACTTCAAACACATTAGCGCCGCCCTCACTGGCGGCCGGTATGATTTTGGGCGTATGGATCTCAACGAAGCCCCGACTCTCCAGAGAGTCGCGGAACAGTTTGCCGACTGCGGCCTCAATGCGGAAAATGGCTTGACTGGTGGGCGTCCGGAGGTCGAGCACCCGGTTGTTGAGTCTCGTGTCCTGATTGACGCCAATGTTAAGGCCTTCACAATCATTGGCCGACTCGTTGTGTGCGCTCTCGCTGTCAGGTCTCGACGCGTCTTCGATCTGAAGGGGAAGTCTGGCCTCAGAAGCGCTCACAACCATCAGTTGGTTCACATGTATCTCGACTTCGCTCAATCATTGGCCGACTCGTTGTGTGCGCTCTCGCTGTCAGGTCTCGACGCGTCTTCGATCTGAAGGGGAAGTCTGGCCTCAGAAGCGCTCACAACCATCAGTTGGTTCACATGTATCTCGACTTCGCGTTGAGAACAGCTCTCGATTGGTGTCGGAACCGATCGCACGACTCCCTCAACATCAATGATGGACTCTTTAGTGACGGAAGCAATGAATTTGATCATCGCTTTGGACACCGTTTGCGAGACAGCAGCCAAACATTGGATACTATAGTGTTGTTGTCTTAAGACAAAGAAGCACTGCTTTCCTTTGGCACGACTCGTGTGCAGCCGTCCTCTCAACCAAATCGTCTTATTGTCCAACGATTTGTTCACGTCTTTCACGGCAACCAATTGGCGTTTGGGTCGATCACTGGACCGGATCATCGGTGACACGCCATACATGCCTTGAGACACGTCTTCGGCGTCTCCCTCTTCGCCAATCTTCGTGTCATTCCTGGCCTCTGCTCTCTCACTCTTCTTCAGAGCCTTATCGGCCGCCTTCTGCTGCTTCTTCAGAGCCTTCTTCGATGGGTTTGACCTGAAATATGAGACAATTTATGGTCAATATTTAATGTCTTCAGATGGCAACTAAAACATATGTCTCGTTGGACTCACTCGTTGTTAATGTCTTTATTCTCCATGTCTTGAGTGGTGTCTTAAGTCTTAGCTTTATATACGCGAAGTGGTCCACAAAACAGGTGACGAAATGATTGCCTATTGTTTCACAAAGTTTTCATAAACTGAATGAAATTAAAAAAACTTTACGCCATGTGTTTGGCTTACGTTTCAGTCAATGCAAAACGTATGCTATGTTTGCATCCAATAATCGCCAGCTCATCGAAAAAGGACACATTGCACATTGAGAGTGTATA